AGTAGTAGTAGTAGTAGTAGTAGTAGTAGTAGTAGTAGTAGTAGTAGTAGTAGTAGTAGTAGAAATAGGAATGAGGGTCGTAGTCGTCATTGTCGTCATCGTCACCGTAGTAGTAACGCCGTAGTAGTAGGAGAGGTCGTAGTCCTAGTGGTGGTCGTAACATTGCAACAACGGAAAGTAGTGGCCGTCGTAACATATAAACACATGGATCTCCGCCACCGTACCCACTGGCACGTTGAGGCGTGCTAGCATGCCAAATGCTGTCTGGCAATTTTTTGTACGTAATGGTCTAAGAGGGACCCCCCCCTTCAGGCCGCACCTCGTCGCGTGCACCTGCCATGCTCCCGGGGGTCCTTGGGCGGCCATGGCGCCTCTATGGGGCTCTCCAGGGCTTCCATGACAGCCCAGGTGGCCCCCAAGACGGTCCAAGAGGGCCCCGAGTCGCCGAACGATCGCTCGAAGACGCCCAAGATGGCCTCAAGATGGCGCCAGAGGCTTCCAAGGCGCCACAGGAAGCCTCCAAGAGGTCTCCCAAGAGGGCCCCCAAAGGCAAACATAATCGATTTCGTTGCGTTTTTGAAGGATTTGGGCGTTCTCGCCTTTTCGGCTTTCCGGCGCTCCAAGTCGGCCCCAAAAAAACCCAAGATCAACCTAAAACGGCCCACGAGGCCTCCAAGAGCGCCCCAAGACAGCCTTAGAGCGCCCCAAGACGGTCCAAGAGGCGCCCAAGACGGCCCAAGAGGGCCCCGAGACGGCCCCCAAAAGGGCCCCAGAGAGGGAACACGAACCGAACATCCGAGCCCTCCTCCCCAAGGGGCCCCCAGGAAGCCCCACGAGGCGCCCCAAAAGCCTTAGAGGCCCCCAAGAGGCTCCCAAGAGGCCCCCAAAGAGGCCCCCAAAGAGGCCCCCAAGAGGCCCCCAAACGGCCCCCAAGAGGCCTGAAAACTGCCTCCAAGAGGCACCCGAGAAATTGCCTGTTGAAGGGAGGAAACGATTCCGTAGGATGGTGATGCTAGAACGATGCCCTTTAACCTTGCGGGTCAGAATCCTCACTCCAGTGCATCAATACCCGAGCTAAGATGGCGACAGGTGAGGGTAGGAAAAGGAGAGATAGAGTACACACTTTTCGGGTGCACGCAGGCAGAGCGGGGAGCCACTCGGCCGTTGAGAGTCGCCGACTAACGCAGCGGACTAACGCTGGGCTGAGTGAAGGTGACAAGGGGGGTGGCGCCGGCTTTTCACGGGGCAGTGGCGGGGGGTGGTGGGCAACGGACATTGGCAGGGAACAGCGGACTGGCGCCAGACGGGCACCGGTGGGAAGGGCCCCACGGGGGCGGCGGCGGGGGCAACGGACGGCAGGCGGCGGCGGGGCAGCGGGCGGCGCCAAAGGGCACAGCCAGGGCGGGAGGGCAGCGAGCAGCGGGGAGGCGCCGACCACCAGCGCGGCAGCAGCCAAAAGTGACGCCCGAGGGCCCAATGCCCGACGGGGCGTCTGCGGCTGGGGCGGCGACAGGTGAGGAAAACAGAAGGAGAGATAGGGTACACAGCATCTACGCAAGTTGCTTCTTCAGGAGATCAACTGCGCAAATGACTTGAAGAAGTTTCGTCCTTTCCCTCGCCCCACCATTCGGCGACGTCAGAGCTGCCTGCACGGCCGTGGCCGTGCGAGCGCAGCTGTTTTCGAACCCTCCAAAGAAAACTTGCACATCGTCTCCTGGAGCCATCTGGCCGAGAGTAATCTTACGACCCTCCTGCGCTCGCTCCCATCTGCTAGGGCGCAGGCGAGAGCCAGCCGACCCTGCGGAGCGCGGGGGCCGGGCGATCCCAAGGGGCGGAGGAGGAGGGGGAGGAGGAGGAGGAGGAGGAGGAGGAGGAGGAGGAGGAGGAGGAGGAGGAGGAGGAGGGGGAGGAGGACGGGGAGAAGGAGGAAAAGGAGTTGGGGGAGGAGAAGGAGGAGGAGGAGGAGGAGGAGGAGGAGGAGGAGGAGGAGGAGGAGGAGGAGGAGGAGGAGGAGGAGGAGGGGGAGGGGGAGGAGGGCTCCGCAGGGGCGCGCCGCCTGTCGGCCTCTGCCAGCCCCAGCGCGGCGCGGCTCACGCGCGCCTGGCCGGGCGCTGCGCCGGAGCGAGCCGCGGCCCGCGGAAGCCTCGCGAGGCGATCCCAAAGGGTGCTCAGCAGGGGCGCGCGCCGCCTGCCGCCCTGCCCGCGGCGCCACTCGAGCGCCTGGCCGGGCGCTGCGCGAGAGCGAGGCGACCCTGCGGAGGGCGGGAGAAGTCCCTGAGATCCGATGCTCCAAACAGATTGGAGCGGGCGGTTTTTGACAATTTTCGGCCTCTGGGGGCCCTCGCCGGGCCTCGGGAGCGTCAAAAACGACTTAACCGGTCCCGGGGAAGTGGTCCGGACTTCCCGGGCCCACGCGTCGAAGAAGCGGGAGCAGCTGGATGCCTGGGGTTATCCAAAGCGACCGGGGGCGCAGCAGGGGGCGTGCCGCCTGTCGGTCCACCCGCGGCGCCACTCGGGCGCCCGGCCAGGCGCTGCGCGAGAGCGAGGCGGGGCCGCGCCGCTGGTCGGCCTCTATAGGAGTGGGAATACGAACAGACCTTCGGAGCACTTGCCCGGCAACAGGGCCCTCATGAAGCTCCCATCTGCAGAGGCTCCCAATCTAGGTCCCGGGAGGCTCTCAAGAGGTCCTCATACTGCCCAAAGAGGCCTCCAAGAGGCCCCCAGAGGCTCCCAAGAGGCTCCTGGAGGCTCTCCAGAGATCCCCACACTTCCCCAAGAGGCCTCCAAGAGACCCCCGAGACGCCCCAAAAGAGACCTCGGCATCCAGGAGGCCCCCGAGAGGCTTCCCAAGTGACTGCAAGAAGCCTCTCGGATGCCTCTGGTAACCCAGACCCCCGAAGTCGTGTTTTTTTCGCAACGTCGACCCCCAAAGGTCTGGACCCTTTCCCTGGGACCGCTTTTTCATCCTGAGTTGTTTTTTGACGGTCCCGAGGCCCAGGAAGGGCCCTCGGAGGCCGACAATAAAGAAAAACCTCCCGTCGTGATTTTTTTCACAGCGCGAGGAGGTCTGGGAAACCGCCCAGGCGCGGTGGCGGGATCGGAGGCCACCAGGTAACGGCGGCACCGACTTGGGGAATCCTTGCAGTAACCTTGAAATCCTGTTGCGAGCCCTGGGGCTCCCGTCCGCCAGAATACTGCACAGGCGACACAGAGCCGTCGACGGGCCACCGCCAATCGTGCGGGCCTCACCTTCGCTGTCCATGTTGAGGCCGTCGGCGCGTGCACCCAAACGCCTCGTCAACGCAAAAGGCAAGAACATCGGTCCGCCTGCTCGGGCAGCTTCATCGATGGGAGCTCGCACAGCACACTGTGTACCAGGTGCGTGGCGGCATGGGGTAGCCTTGCCGTACGGCTCGGCGAGAACAGGAGCCACGCGCGCTGCCACGCGCCGATTGGAATCCTGCATCAAGCTGTCGCCATCACCCTGGATGGGTACAACTGGGAGCGCTAATCTTCGTTGACCGCAGCGCGTGCCCCGCAAAACGATGTTCCGCATCGGCGGCGGCGGGTCAGGTGCATACGGCGGAAGCAGCAGTTTTGCTAGCAAGACCAAGAGGTGGCGCATCAATAGCACAACAACGATTTTACTAGTCACAGTAGCGCCCGTCGTCGCCAGCGCCGCCGTCGTAGTGATACGTAAATCTTTGATGTGCGATTCGGCCGAAGGAACTTTTGGAGGCGGCCGGGAGGTCTGCGCAAGTAGGGCCCCGAGGAAAATCGTCGGGTGGGGTACGGGCAAATCAGCTCACGATCGCAATCCCAGGACCCCCCCCGGGGCCCATCCGGGCCAGTTATAGATTCACTCTGGATCGCCTGGCGGCCCCCCCGACGCCGAAAACCCCAGGCGGAGGCAAATCCCCTCAAAATCTTGCTGTGGACCCCTCCTGAAGTCGAAACTGACAAGTGCTTCGAGCCGCGTCCAGCCGTAGCGACGAGGGGGGCCCTTTAACCCTTTCTCCCTCCTTATTTCTGGCCAGTGAGTTGGGCCAGCTCAGCCTCTCAGGAGGATCTGAGGGAGCTTCTTCTTGATCTCGCATCATCCAGAACAGCAGCGAACGTGGAAACAAAGCCCCCGATCGAGCCTGCCAACACTGTCTCCGCTTCAAACGATGAATCCGCTGTATCCACTTCGGACGGCGATGACTCTGAAAGGCACCGATGGCCACACAAGAAATACAAAAACAAGTGCAAGAGCCTGGAGGCATCGGGACGTGAGTTCCGGGTGTGCGAGACACCAGGATCTGGATGGGAACAAGTCCGCACCTCGAGGCGGTCTTGACGATGGACGTGCAATAAGCGAGACACCCAACCTCGCAACAGAGCTACTCCGCGAAGCGACTGCTGGAAGCAGATAGTGATGATAAGGGTGGGGAGGAGGAGGAGGAGGAGGAGGAGGAGGAGGAGGAGGAGGAGGAGGAGGAGGAGGAGGAGGAGGAGGAGGAGGAGGAGGAGGAGGAGGAGGAGGAGGAGGAGGAGGAGGAGGAGGAGGAGGAGGAGGAGGAGGAGGAGGAGGAGGAGGAGGTGGCGGAGATGGCGGATGCGGATGCAGCTGCCTGTTGGTCGGTGTGATGGTGCTTGTTTGCCGTGATGTTTCGCGACTCGCCCCCCCCGTCGTCGTCGTCGTCGTCGTCGTCGTCGTCGTCGTCGTCGTCGTCGTCGTCGTCATCGTCGTCGTCGTCGTCGCCGTCGTCGTCGTCGTCGTCGTCGTCGTCGTCGTCGTCGTCGTCGTCGTCGTGCGGATGCAGCTGCCTGTTGGTGGGACCCCCCCCCTTCGGAGCAAGGCGAATTGAGACCACGGCAGCTCGACACGATCCACGGAACCCTCCCGGGGTCCAAACGCACAAGTTGTCCGAGCTGCGTCCAGCCGTGGCGACGAGTGCGCCCCCCCCCGAGGGCCACCTACCGTTATCTCAACCCGCCCTCCTCTGACCCCCGCGCTCCAGAGTGAGGGTCAGCTTTGGCTTGCCGAGCTGGGCCCCCTCCGCGAAGGGGGACTCGAAAGTGTTCAGGGGCGTGCCCTTCGCCTTCGGGGGGATGGGAACGGAGGAGGAGGAGGAGGAGGAACAGGAGGAGGAGGAGGAGGAGGAGGAAAAGGAGGAGTAGGAGGAGGAGGGGGAGGAGGAGGGGGAGGAGGAGGCACCACCGAATCGAGTTCGAGCGCGCCGAGCGGGGAAAAAAGAAAGGCCGAGACAGACGGAAAAGGCGAGCACGCGCAACTCGTCGATGAAACGAAACCAGAGGACGACAGGGGCCTCCTGGCAAGTAAAACGTCAAACGAATTACCGAAGGCGAAGCCAGAAGCAGGCTTCATCCGAGACCATGAGTGGGCGAGGCTCGCCCCTCCATTCCCCCGAGATGGGATCTTTCCCCACCTCGAGGGCTTTTAGATAAGTGTAGTCCTTGCTGGATGCAATCCCTTGGCACTCACCCCACAGACGCGACCGAGGCGCGGAGGGCTGGCAGCGGGCGCCACAACAGCGGCAGAATGCAAGAGTACCTCCAGCAAGGAGGATGACGTGCCCTCGGGCGCTACGCGAATCAACAGGACCCTGAGCGGAGAGGGGACGGTCGGGGGGGGCGGCATCACGGGCAACCCAGGACGCCCCAACCCGCGGGCCCCCAGAGGCCCTGGCCCTCTTGGGGGGCGGAGGCCCCCCAGAGCCACCCAGGGAACCCTGCGCACTAGCAGGGGCGGGGGGGGGGGGGGCACGCACAGCCAACCGAGGCGCCTTCGGGCGCGGGCCCCTAGAGGCCTCCTCAGAGCCGCTCCCCTTTCTAGTGCCCTCGCTCCTGGTGGGGCGTGGGGAAATCGGGGAGGGGTCAGGATCGACCTGGACACTGGGGGCATCCACCTGGGCCTGGACACGCGGGACCTCTGGGAGCCATCCCGCGCAGGCGCCAGCAAGGTCGAGATCCCGACGCTCCTCGTCCGCTTGAAACCTCACCCTTTTAAACGCAAGGAGCCGCTCAGGGCCTTCTACCGCCGTAGGCTGGAGCTCATCGTCGTCCAACTCCAGGTCGGCGCCGGAGGGGTCCACAGGACCCCGAGGGGACGGGGTCGAGACTCCAAGCGGCCCAACCTGGGCGTCGCCCGCGGCGTCCCCCGACGTTGACCTCGGGGCCCACAGGGCCGCAGCCTCGGCAACCCTACACGTGCGGATCCTCTGGGCCCTCGCACCTTTGGCGGACAAGGCGTAGGCGGGGCAGCGGTCACACGCCCACTTTTGACCACGCCTCCTCACAAGGTGCGGGAACTCCACCACCGTCGGCGGCGTCGGCGCACCCGCCCACTGGCCGTCCTCAGCCGCTGCTCGCTTCGCCTTAGCAGCGTCCCGCTCCAGGGCCCAGCGCTTTCGCAGCGCCAGGGGTCGCCGCCTCGGAATCTCCACACGGTCGGGCGGCACGGCGTCGTCGAAAGTGACCCTGGAGGCGCTGGCAATCCAGGAGGCGACTTGCCTCGCTCGCGCCAGGGCCTGCGTATATCTGTCCACTGCACCTCGAGGAAGGTCATGAAGGTGCTGGCCCCTCTTGGCTGCTTGATCCGCCAGGTAGTTGCACCGCCTCTCCCACGTGTCCTCCTTCGGGTGCCCCTTGACGTAGGTGATTCGGACAGGGGACGGGGTACTGGAATCTGGCGCATGGAGGCCTCCATGGCCATCGATGTGGTGCCATATTTGTCTCCACAGGTCCACATTGTCTCGCCTGGGACTGCAGCGCCAGCGGCGTCCACGGGCCAGGCCGTCGAGCAAGGGCAGGTAATCTTTGTGGATGTGTAGCGGGGCAATCCCAACCGTGATAACCTGCAGCACAGCGTGCAGCTCGGCGCGTGCCGAGGTCTGGCGAGGGCCAGGCAAGGCGCCAAACACAGCTCCCGAGTAGCTCGCGTCTCCCACAACCACGAAGCCCCAGCCTGCCCGTGCTGCAATATCCCAGCGCACTAGCTTCTTGCAAGAGCCGTCCGTGAAGATGCACCCCGTGACGACCAATGGCTCAGCATGCGCTCCACGATCGTAGTGCCATGCTCCAGTGTCGCATCTCGGGGGCAGCGCAGGCAGGAAGGAGTTGGGGGAAAGGCCCCTGGAGTACAGCAGGTCCCCAGATACCGTGGCCAGGTCAGCGTCGAACGTATCTTCGTCTACGGCTCGCTCACGCATGTCGTCCAGGGTAGGACAGCACCAGTAGCGATGATGAAGAGTGCCCAGAGCATCCCAACACCGAAGACAACGTGGGTTTGCGGCGTAGGCGTACTGGTAGAGTCTCTGCTGCGAAAGGTGACCACCCAACACCGCCGTGCGTAGAGCAGCTCTCGCCAAGGGGTCCAAGGCCCACCCCTTGGCCTTCACCCCTGCCTGCAACAACCCACGTATAGGAGCTAGCCAGATACCTGCAGGATCTTTGTGAAGCGGCCCAGGTATTTCAGGCATAACGTCTGGCCGCTGCGCCCACTGCTCCCGACCGACCACCTCGTAGTCCAGCAGAGCGAGCCACTTGACGACGGAGGGAGCGGTAACCCGAAGGTCGAGCAAGTCACCATTGCGAGTCAAAACGCTGTAACTCGGGGAGCACTTCCAGCCTAGGCGCAGTACCGATCGCGAGAAAGCACCAGCAGGTCCTTTGACGAGCTTCCAGCTCGTGGGGGCGGGTGCAGACGCAATCTGAAAGTACTGAGTCCTCCAGGCAACCTGCATGGCATCAATTGAACATTCCTCAGACTGCATCATGAGCGCCCAGTTGCAGATCGGGCCGACCACTGCGACACACTTTGGGTGCTGCGATGGGGAGCGGTCCAGCCGCGCAGCAATCCAGTGTGAGCCACCGCTCGGTATCGCGTCCCAACCATGCTTCGCCATTGCTGTCATCCTGCGTAGCACATGCGGGGCCGCCCCTAATATGCTCAGTCCGTAGGTGATGGCAGGGCCGACTGCTGCTCGAGCGACCTTCTTGAACTTTGCCCCGAGCGCCTGCAAACGTTTGAAGTGTCGGGCCCTCTTGCTTACCTTGCGCATGCGCCTCCTCAGCACATGCCCATAGCAAGGTTTGCCTGCGCCAACTTCCAGGCCCAACACTTCAAGCCAAGGTTGTGGACGGAAGCCGTACTTCTTCTGTCTACCTGCCACCATGGTCGGCATCTGCCCGTCGGAACCTGCAAGTAAGGCCTTGGACTTCGCAATTGGGAGACCTAGGTCCGTCAAAGACTCGCACAGCAGCTTGATCACGTCAACCGGCATCTGCTGGAAAAACTTGAGCTGTGCCTCGACCTGCCGGGCGAGGTCGCCCGCGAAGACGTCCAGCGACGACGAGAAGCCTGCATCACTGCTGCCCTGGAGGGGCTGTGCTGCTGCTACAAAATCGCCCATGGCAGATAGCATGAGGAGCTGAACAAGGGCCATGGCGTATTTGCACCCAGGCAGCACGCCTTGGTCCACCACAACTGAGTAAGAGGTGGCCTGCAGCCACACCAGCCTCCGTGGCGCACGATACATGGCCAAAGCGCATGACAGTAGCTGCCGAGGGAAGGCGTGCTTCTTGGCTGCCTGAACAAGGCGACGCCAGCAAATGCGATCGAAGCACTTCTCGATGTCCACGATGGCTGTGACGACCCCTTTGTCGGAGGCCAAGGCCGCCTCGGCGCGAAGGGGGGCACGAGCAGCCACATCTTGAGTAGTCTTGCCCACCGCCAAGGCAAAGTAGGGCCGATCGTGATCTTGAAGCCATTGCCGAAGTTGGACGCTCCGCACTTGCGTCCAAACACGATGCACCGCCTGCAGCAGCGCAATGGGTCGCCATCCTCCCTTGGGCTTGGCCAGAAGCACAATGTGGACGGTCATGAGCTGGGTCGACCAGCGCTCCCAGTGCTCGGCCAGCCACATGATGTAGATCAGCAGGGCAAGGGTGGGGTCACTGAGGAGGCTCAGGGACCTGGGGGCCAGCTTGTCTGCGCCCTGGCCCGTGTGCCACTTGAACTGCTTCGCGGCCCGCCGCACCTCGGCGATCTTTGGGACGGGAAGGGCCGCTTTCGGGAGGTTCAGCAGAGCCTCCCGCAGGTCGGCCGTGTCGTCAGAATCTTCGATGTGCCGCACCTGATAGCCATCCAGACCTTGCCCAGCACCATCCACCTGCACAAGCGTCGGGGGCCGTGACACCGCCGTAGCCCACCAGATGCTGGCCCATCGGCCCATCTGGTCATCCGCAACGTGTTGCGCCGAAGATGTAGAACCACCGTGGCGATGGACCTGAGCGCGCGGCACACCTGCGGGCTTGGTGAAAGAGAATAACGGCTTGATGCGACCCGCCTCGCAGTTAGAAGCCCAAGTGGCGAACGCCCTTCTCCTGTCCCGCATAGCTGCCGACTCCAGCTCCTCGGCGTACACCCCAAGCCATGCGACCACGGCACGCACGGCATCACGAGCAGCATCACGAAGGTCGGCCGAGGAAACATGTGGACGGCACTCAGCTGAGTAGGAGGCCCCACCAGGAGGGAACAGGCCACCAGCCTCGCAATCGATGTCCATGTGCCGCGCGCCGCTCACACTTCCCACGTCCGTAGACTGGCCTCCCAACTGTCCCGACTCCGTCCCACTCATGGGTCTTTGTCGGTCCAGGGGCTCTGCGGGCGGGGCGGCGCACGGCCTTGAAGAAGAAGACGAGGGCCTCGTCGACGTAGACAACGAGGCCGATGACGCCAAAGTAGCTGGCGGTGCCAAAGGGAAGGCTCGAGGGTAGGAGGGCACGACGGCGTCGGCCCCAGGTGCTGCAGCGCCAGGACGACCACAACCATCACGATTACCGAAGAGAACCTCAGGAGCAACAGGGGAAAAAGGATACCTCGCCAACCCCAGGTGCTAGAGCGCCAGGACGGTCAGCGGGTAGGGACGTGCAGAGCACATCGCCAGAGCCAAGCTTTCGCCTCTGGGCGAAGGCGGAGCCGAGGGCCTCGTCGACGTAGAGAATGAGGCCGATGAAGTCAAATTGACTGGTGGCGCCGAGGGAGGGGCCCGGTGGTAGTAGGGCGTGACGGCGGCGGCCCCAGGTACTGCTGCGCCAGGACGACCACAACCATCACGGTGCACGTAGAAAAGCTCAGGGCCCCCAGGAGAAGGGGAGACCGCGCCAACCCCAGGTGCCAGTGCGCCAGGACGGTCAGCGGGTAGGTGGGTGCAGGGCCCCTCGCCATAGCCAAGCTTACGCCTCTTGACCAGAGGAGTAGACGCGGATGCCGTATTCGACGCAGCAGCTGCCGTCGACGTCACATCAGTGGATGGGGCCCTGGAGAATGGGAGCGGGGAGGTGATCACGGCGGCCCCTGGTGCTGCTGCGCCAGGACGGGGGGCGTGATCACGATTGCTCAACTTCAGCACGCTGGGGGGACTCGCACTGCCGCTGCCAGTCCCAACGGCCTCCACTGTAACCCCAGGAGATAGAAAAGGGATCGGATCAGCATCAGCCCCAGGGCGACCAAATGCAGAGGAAAGAGACGGTGAGCCCGCCATAGTCGCACCGTAGGCCGTAGACCGCTGGTCAGGGAGCCAGCGGTCGGAGGCAACCGCGATGTCACGCACCACGGGGAATATCTTACGCAAAATCCGCACAACCTTCTGACAGTCGGTCCCCAGGTATGCCCGCTCCGCCGTAGGCGACACCAATCTTTCCAATCGCCGAAGGAGCTGGTCATCATCATGATCCCCTCGAAGGAGGTCGTCAGCAGCCTGAGCCAGGCGCTGAGCCCGTCGTGCATCAGGAACCGCTGCAGGGTGTGGTCCAGTAGGAGCACCGCCAGCTTGCCTCCACACGTAGTCGACCTTGGCAGCACGGCCACGGTAGAGGTCGCCGTCCGTGTCGATGCAGTACGTCGCGAGCAGCTCGTCCTCCGCGGCGTCCATGAAGGCGGCGTAGAGGGAGTCCAAACGAACCTGCGCCTGCACAGCAGTGGCCGCCCCTCCCCGCGCCGCGTCTGCCTCGATGGTGTCCTGGTGGTCGACTGCCGCCACAGGGATGCCGTCTTCGTCGGGCGCTGCCTTCGGGAAAGCCTTGGGCGGGGCCCGACAGCACCAGGAACTTGACGGCCTTGGCACGCGTATCGAGAGACACCTGCATGGGGTAGTGGGGCGCCGCAGGCCATCCTGGAACTGGCCTCGGCTGCGAGAGCGACCCAGCCAGCGACAGACTGGAGAGCCAGTAGTCGATGTTGGAGTAGTTCCCTTTCACGCTCCTGCGTGTGCCCCCCAGACGCACGAGCAACCGTGGCGGCTGGGATGCAGTCCAAGAAACCATCAACACCCAGAGCGGACGGCTCGCAGTTGAAATCGGCTGCCAAGATGAAAGGCCTGTTCCACCCGCGCAGCGCCGCGGCAATGTCGAAGAGGCGCGCCGCATTGACCCCGGCAGCCCACTTTCCCACTTCGAAGTAGGCAGCAACCAATACCAACCCTCCTCTGATGCCGAAGTCGGCGTGGCAGGCGACAGCAAAACTCGGTAGCAAGTCGAAAGAATCTGGGACAATCGACGTGCCAGGCATGGCCGTCACGCTGTGGCGTCTGATGAAGAGTCCGACCCCAGCGGACGGCCGCCCAGACTCAAGTCTCCGACAAGGTGTGATGATAGCGTGCCACCCCTCACGAGCTGCCCATCCCTGCGCACGCCGAAGCTCATCTCCATCAACACGGAGCTCCTGCGCCGCGACAGCCTTCACCGAGGGGTCGCATTTCTCCAAAAACTCACGGCACGTCCCCCAAGACGAACCGTTGTAGGTGACCAGGACCACGTTCTTCCTGGCTGCGCGGCGTCTGCCCTGCTGCTCACATCGGGCCTGCGTTCTCCCAAGCTGCAGCTGCCGCTCCTGAGGGACGAAAAGCGGCTGACACTTTGGCTGCAGGCGCAAGGGGTGCCGCAGGAGCCGCTGCCTGGGCGGGGGCGGCGGCCGCTGGTGCTGCGGAGGTCGCGGAGGTGGCCTCCGCGTGCTGGCCAGCAGCGTCGGGTGCCACCCCTGTGGCTGCGGCCTGCAGGGCCTGGGCAGCAGGGAAGGCCATGCCGATGGCCTGGACCTGCGCATTGATCGACTCGAGGAGCGCGATCCCCTGGCCGTTCTGCACCTGGTTGGGGGCCACGCTGAGCAACGTCTGCAGGCCGCACGGCGTGGTGGCCAAGCCCTGCAGGTCCACTCCGCTGGGGCCCGCCGCAGCTGCTGCCACGGCGCGAGTGGCCTGGGCGGCCTCCTGCTCCAGCACTTCGATCTGCAGCTTGTGCAAAATGGCGACGCGCTCCTCAGCCTCGATAAGGTCGGTACCCGACTTGGCCCTTCGCTCTCGAGCATCCGTGAGCTTGGCCTGCAGCTCGCGGAGGACGACGTCGGAGGGCTGCGCCTGCCTCTCAGCGAGCTCCAGGTCGGCGAGCTCGGCCTTGGCGGCCACGATGAGGGGGTGGTCATCGGCGTACTGCAGCCCTTGCAGCGCCTTGAGCCCTTGTCTTGCCCGATCCACCGCTGTGGTGGCCGTACTAGCGGGCCGAGGACCACCAGCAGCACGATCGCCAGGAGCGCCCGAGCGGCGGCGCCTCCGAGCAGACGTCGACCGCGGCGGGTGGCCTCCATCACTGCCTGGCGGCGCCTCGGCGGGTGGGGTGCGGCCAGCACGGTCTCGGCCACACTTCCAGCACGTCTGACGGCTGCCGAAGTTGGTCCTGAAACCATGCCCGCGTGGCCACGCAGGCCCACTGGGGCTCGGCGGCGCCGCCTGGCGCGGCTCGCCACGGGGGCGTGGCCATGGGGCCTGCTGGCGGACAGTCGCCGTGATGGCCCGACAGCAGCGCCCTGGCGGCGGCGAGGCGCAGCAGCCGCCGAGCGCTGGCTCGCCGCCGCCGTAGGTGAGGGCGGCCGCTCACGGCGCACTCCGCCGCCGCCGCCGCCGCCGTCCGTGATTGCACCTCGCGCGCCCGAGGGGGGGCGGGAGGCTGGGGGCTCGCGCGCACGGGCCGCCCCTGGCCCGCAGCGAGCCACCTAGGGGGAGGAGGAGGACGGGGAGGAGGAGGAGGAGGAGGGGGAGGAGGAGGAAGAGGAGGAGGAGGAGGAGGAGGAGGAGGAGGAGGAGGAGGAGGAGGAGGAGAGCGACGGGGGACTCGAAGGTGTTCAGGGGCGTGCCCTTCGCCTTCTCCTTCTCCTTCTCCTGGCCCTCTGCGGCCTCCTCGCCCTGCGCCTCCTCGCCTGCCTGGCCGCCGTCCTCCAGTGAGGGGGCTCCGCCGCGGGGGCCAGGGCAGAGGGGGCTGGACGCCGACCCGCTGCGCTCCCCCCCTCCTCTCCGAGGCTTGGGAAGGGGCCCAGGCTCCCGACGTCCAGATGTGTTCACAGCCTCGACACCCAGAGGTCTGGACCCCTTCCCCAGGACTGGTCCTTCATCCTGCGTCGTTTTTGACGGCCCCGAGGCCCAGGAAGGGACCCCGCAAGCCGAAAATTAGATACAAAACCTCCCGTCCTGATGCTTTTCGCAGCGCGAGGAGGCCTCGTGTGGGGGGTGGGTGGGTCGGGAGTTCTTGTGCAGCGTGTCGCGGCGACGGCCCTGGCGACACGCCGTGCTCTGCAAGCGGATAAGCGCGTCGCTCCGCTCCGCAGGGCGGGGGGCAGAGAAAAGCTCGGGACGTTGACGTTTGGGGACTGGGGCGCGGTTCGAATGTCGCGCCAGAGCGTGGTGGGCCAGAGCCCAGCGGCGCGACCCGCTAACCCAAAATCCCCGACCGCAGGGTACAAAGAAAGTTCGGCCCACGCGGCCGGCGGAGAAGAGGGCTAAGCGCGGAGGGTCAGTTCAACCCCTCTACAGCGTGGACTCCCAGAGGTCTGAACCACGTCCCCAGGCCAGGACCGTCTTTTCGTCCCATGCCGTTTTTCAACGGCCCTGGGGCCTGGCGAGGGCCCCCGAAGGCCGAAAATTGCCGAACACCTTCCACCGTGAGTCCTTTACATCGAGAGAGGAGGAGGAGGAGGAGGAGGAGGAGGAGGAGGAGGAGGAGGAGGAGGAGGAGGAGGAGGAGGAGGAGGACGAGGAGGAGGACGAGGAGGAGGAGGAGGAGGAGGAGGAGGAGGAGGAGGACAGGGAGGAGGAGAAGGACCAGTGTAAACCCAAGAGTCATCATCGATGTTTGAATTAAACCTCCTTCCAAGCTCCAAACTCCCTCTTCATAGGCCCCATACAACGGTCCATTTCCATTGCGGGAACTGCCTCGTCGGAAAACAACCGTTTGAAGACCTTGAAGCATGCCAAAACATTGCTCTCGGGCTTTTCACGCCACGGATCAACCTGACGTCTGCGTCCTGACGATCTGGAATCGTGCCAGAACGCCATTTTTGGGACTTCAACACCGCGAATAAACATAAATGTTGCACCCGAGGGCGATACGAGGTAAACCATCAAATACATGGTGCCAAAGGGGAGGGTGCCCGATTGAAAACACAAGAATCGAACGAGGGTCGGTACCAGGCTCGGCCTACGAGTGCAAGCCATGACGCGTACGTTGACCCCGCTGTGCAGAGCACCCCGATATCCGGCAAAGTGCCTTCCGTGGGGGCGGTTGCACCAGCCCGAGCAAACGCGCGCAAAATAAGACGATGAGAAAGTCAGAAGAGAAGAAGGAGGAGGAGGGGATAAACTTGGAACTGATACAACAACCGGCATTCAATGCGATGGTATACAATGGCAGCCTGGATTTCAGACTGGGCCGTGAATGACCACGAACCTACAAAGTGATGGCGAGGCTGATCCAATTGTTAAAAACCTCCCGTTGTGATTTTTCGCTGCGAGAATGAGTTTAGGAACCCCCTCTGCCCTAGACGGAGAAGAATCGACATAGAGATAAGCTTTCGTAGCTCCACGCGAATTTCCTAGATCGTCGCTCGACCCCCCTCCCTGGAGCACAGGGCGCGCCAAGGGCGGCACCGGAGGCGCAGCCGGGAAGCCCAGCGCCGATCCCAGAAGTCCGCGCGCAGCTCCGAAAATTAACGTCTATATGTATTCTCACAACAAAGAAGCACACACAACAAACAACACGTGTGTTGTTTTGTGTTGTTTGTTGTGTGTTTTCTTGAGAGTGTGTGTGTGTGTGTGTGTGTGTGTTTGTGTGTTTGTTCATGTGTTTTGTTGGTGTTGTTTTTGTGTTCCCCTTCTGCCTCTCGCAACAGGGCTTGTCTTGCGCCGGTAGATTGCATAAATCTATCTGTATATATATGTGTATATATTTATTTATTTATTTCGACTCGGCTATGCCCCAAGAGCTGCCTTACCGTCACTGTGTTTGCCTGCCCTGGAACCTATTGCAAGTACTTCGCGCACACATTGCCATGATATATACAACAGCGAAACATGCTACGCAACTGTGTCAGGCTAAACTTGAGATGAGGATCATGTAAGACAGAGAAGATCAAGAGAATTGTACGCAGTGCCTCCACCTCTGCTTCCCAACTGTCGGCGAGAAGCGGCCGCCATAAGCAGCCGAAAGCCAACAATTGCCACGTACAGTGAGCAGCCGTACGAACTCGAAGCACGAAGCCGATCCCTGCCTGGCCACGCTTCCGCCAGCCACCGTCCGAGTGCATGAGACAGTGATGGGGAGTACCGACGAGGGAAGACCAAGAAGGACTAAGGCAGATAAAAGACTCCTGGCTATCCATGGTGAGATTGCACGGCCAATCAGCCTCGGTATTCAGATCCCGACGCCTCCATACCAGAGGGGAGTCCACCACGTGAGGCTCCCTCCACCCATTCATAAATGAATGCAGCAACAAATCAGCAGTCGGGGACAACATGTCGATGTGTTCGAACCTGCAGAAAGAAGATCCGTTTAAGGCCCCAGCCAGAGGTTTGTTATCTACAACGCACTGGAAGAATTTGGTCGCCTCCTCGGGCGGGGTCCAGGAGCAATCGCACGGAAGAGGCGAGAAGCCGAGGGCCGAAAATATTCTCTCTGTAGACCAATGCGACGCGGTCGAATCAAAATAAATATTTTTCCATTCCCGATCTTCTGGACCGAGGGCCACGTCCACCATTGCAGGTTCAGCCAGCCCTTGACGGGCCCTTTTTCGATCAGCGCTGACGGAATCATCGTGGTCACGTTTTCGTTTGGCAGGGCGGAGGCTGCTGGCCCCCTCCACCGGCATCCTTCGAGCGACGTCCGTCTGGAGAGCCAAGTCGCGATTCCAGCGCGGAAGTTGCCACTGGATGCACAGGCTGTTTACGAACTGGTCCTCCGTAGTTTTCCAAACAGTTGCCCCGGCCTCCATCAACTCCTCCCACTCCTTGAAATATTTATCCCAAAAATCCTCCACCTGGAACACAAGGGCCCCTGGACGACGATACCTCCAATCCCCAGCAAAATCCTCTCGAACCCTAGCACTATGACGACCTTCTACCACCCCCACCGCATGCTCCCCTCGACGGAAAAGAGCAAGTTCTCGAAGCGGGTATTCCGGCATACCCTGGGCATCCAGACCCCATGACCAATGGAAAGATCGATACCGCCAGCGATGGCACATACGCAACCAACGGTGATGGACATGCGGGATTCCCCACGTGGCGAAGCGGCCTTCCAGGAGCCTAGCAGTACGACTATTATAACCAAGATGGCCTTCTTGGGGTAGATGTTTAAGCTTGAACGACTTACGCAACACATTGTCTTCCCAGGCACGGAGTTGCTGTAAACGTGCTTGTGTCGGTACCCGTGCTTGGCAGTCATATAAGGCGCTGGCCACTGGGCCCCGGCTGAAGGCCCGAGCTTTGGCCTCCCAGCTGGCCCTCGGATTCAACAGATGTGGGGTGATTCTGCCCAAGTTCCTCTCGGCTTTAAGAAATCTGCGCGAAAATGAAATCGTAGTCCCACCTTCCCTGTCGAATCTGGTCCCAAGAACCACCTCCTCGTCTACCACGGGGAAGCGCAAGGTGCCCTGCGACAGAGACTCGATCATGACGTGCGTCGGGGGGGCATCCACCCCCATACCGCATAGAATAGCGCTCTCCTTCATTTTCACTCTGAAACCGTCATGTTTAGAGTGCGTACGATGTTAGTGATCATGATGGTGATGGTGTGAAAGTCCCTAGCGCAGAGGATAAGGTTATCGGCCCAGATAAGCAATGACAGGAACACATTACCAATCCTAGCCCCGCACTCCTCCCCAGCCCACCGATCAACAAGACGTCGAAAAATAAAGACCAAAACCAGGTTAAACAGCAACGGTGTTTCCACTCCACCCTGACGTCCCCCTTTTTCGTAATTGAATTTGCCAGAACTCCCAACCCCTCTGATGCACATCTCCGCCGATAGGCCAGAAAGCTCCCGGAGAAGTGCAGCTACCAGGGATGAAGGAACCTGGAGCTCCGATAAAGCCCTGGCCAACAACTCGTGCGGAATGCTGTCAAACGCAAATTCGATATCCAAGAACGCGAACAGATACGGCTGACGCTTAAAATTGTGAGAGATGGCTAGAACCTTACGCACGATGTCCACCACGTGCAAAGTCGAAATGCCCGGGGTAAAACCAAACAGCCGAACACGAGATTGAGAGACAAAGCGACGAACCGCATACCATACTGAACGCAGGTGCCACTTTTGCATGTTCGGAGTCTTTGCAATATATCTCCATTCAGTGTAACACGACGGGATCAGCACCTTCGGTAAGCCTACTAAATCGATAAACTTCCAATACTCCCCTCCACCCATCCCGCTCTCGAAGTATTTGACGAAAGCAATATACACCTCAACCAATGTACTATAAGGTAAAGATTTCAACATCTCTCCCACCACCCCATCCCTAGCTGGTGACGTGCCTTGCGAGATAGCCCCTCGAGCGGCGAGAAACTCCATGAACTGGAACCAGCCTGGGCCACGAGCGGGCGAAAGATGTCCGTCCAACCTATCTGCGCGAGCACGTGCTAGAAGAACCTCTAGTCGTTCCTGTTGAACCTGGGTAGGATTAGTCGAATCATTGTACCGTAACGCCCCAGACCGTTGCAAAAGCTCAGGCCAAAGCGAATGATTATGAAGCGCATCGCCGTAGATAGGCTTAAGTTGTTCGGGAACCTTCAAGAAATCCAGCAAACGAGAGCACGACCACGACGGGTGAGAGTTGATGGCAGCCAGTGTGTCATCCCCACGTTTACGACGACGACGCTTGACCAACTGCCTCACCTCTCAGCGATCTTGTCGATTTCGGACCCCCCCTCTCAAATCTAGCTTTATCTTATGGCGAAGATGTTTTTCCCTATCAGATCTCTGGCTGTTCTGCCACCGCCTCAACCCAGCATTCGTGGCTGGAACCAGCATGGCGGTCTCGCCAATGAGCGATTCCCAATCTGCGATAGACTTGCACTCGCGAGCAGACTGTGATACAAATCGTGGCTGATTTTGCATCGCTCGGGGCTCCGCAGCGGCCGCGCCGTTACGACACGCGGGCGGCTTTGCAGGATGGCGCATCAGAGCGTTGGCCGAAGCAACCCTGTGCTGGAACAGTCCCAGCGCAACTTCGTTATCGGGTGCCCAGCCCTTCTGCGGAAACGACTTGGCCAGATAGCTGATGTACGAACTGTCGAACACGATTTTGCCTCTGACCATCTTGTGATCGGAGCGCAACACTTCCGGGGCTTTCTTGCGTGTATGATCCAAACATTCCCAGCGCCCTAACAATGCACAGCAGGAATAGCAATGGAATCGATTTGTGATTCGCTGCCCCGCGTGTTGCACCAAGTCCACATCTCATCAGGGAGCTGCTTTGCACAAGAGGAAAATGTATTGAGAAGAACAGCGTTGCGAGCGTAGAAAAACTTGGTGAGACGAGCACCTCTAGCAACATAATGACCAGGGTGAGGAGGCTCCGCCCAATCACCGCTGAGCCCAGGAAGATACCCACACATAGTATGATTAAGATCTCCCCCGAGAACCCAACGCTTCACCTGTGGAAGAGCACGTTCTCATTCGTCACAGAGCCGCCCTATAGATGACATCGTATCGTCCCAGCAGACTTGGGAATCAGACCCGGTAGGCAAGTGTAAACATAAGTACCCGCTGCCACCACACTGCAACATGCAATAGAAGGGACCAGGGTCTTTACGGTGGATGTGATCGTGCCAGCACCCAGGGACTGCTATACCGCAGTCCTCGCCCAGTTTCGAGAAGAGCTCGTACCCATGATGCGAAGCATCAACCAAACGAGGAATCTCCTGAAGAAACATGACAGTCATACGCCCAACAAACTTCCTCATCTTTTTGGAAAAAAAGAAGCCCGAGCTGAGACCGCCTTGTGCCTCAAGTTTGCGGTGATGGCCCAGAGCTCAGTGAGCTCACGAATTCTAGGTTCCAGCTGGCACCTCTACTTGCGCATGCTGAGGATCAACTGGTCTTTGTTCCCCCCGATCTCCGCGAGCTTCGAGTCGTCCCAGACCACCTGAGCCGACGAGTCGATGCCGGCAATGCGGTACGGGTCGCCGTCCGCTTTCTTGACCGATACCGAGAGCGAGCGTTTCCAGTCTTCGGTGACAAGGTACCCGGTGGCCGTCGCCTGTTCCCTGATCGTCTCAGTCAACGCGCCACACGCTCTGTACCTCATCATTCGAACGGGGTGCTGCTCCGCCCGAAAGGTGGGCCACACCTCGGTGCCCTGGCCCTTCGCCGAGGTCAAGAAGAGATTGTGGGTCATGGTGATTTCCTGGAGGTGCTTCTTCATGGTATCCACGCTGCCGGGCTGGACTGGGAGCTCGAACTTGTAGATGTTTTCCGTGGTTTTCACTTTGAGCTCGCCCAGCTCCTGGGCCGACGCACCCAAATGCCCCCGTACAGTGGCATACCACGTGCAGAGCTGAGCCATGCCAATCTTGTGGTCGCCCTTCTCATGAAAATCGCAAAGCTTCACAATGATATTGGATGGTTTCCAATCGCCTCCGGAGGAGGCGGAGTTGCCTCCCGCACTGGAGGCGCCATCCAAGACCTGCTTCTCCAGCTTTGCCACTCGCTTCTCCAGTTCCTCTGCGCCCGTCTCGATCTGCTTGAATCGAGGTTCGAACTTATCTCCCATCTTCCCGAGCAAGGTATCCATGGACATCGTGACCCTGTTCGAATAGAGGTCCAAGATCTGTTTGGTCCCCGGAGGGAGTGTTTTCAAGGCCTCCTGCTCCGCCTCCGCCATCCTCTGCAATTCGTCGGTGTGCAGACGTTTGGCAGCAGGTTGAGAAGAATCGGCCTCCATCGGTGCACAAAATGTGCGAGAAAGTGAAAAGGAAGTACAATACAGAGCGGCCACTCAGGCCCAAATTGGCATGAGCCAAATGGCTTGAGCCAAAATGGCTTGATACATACATACATACGTATATATATATATATATATATATATATATATATATATATATATATATTATATCGGAGGTGAGGGGGTGAGATCGAAGTGGAACGGAGAGCCCCCCTACCGGGAAATCGATTTCGGTTTCGTGTTCGTGCGTGCCGTGCGTGCGGGCGAGGCGAAGCTGCGTGGGCGGGCGAGAGGAAAGTCTCCTGTGGCTGAGGCGCGGCCGGACCAAATGATTCTCCACCGGGCGGCCGGTGGCGCGCGGTGTCCCGCCGGTGTCCCGCCGGTGTCCCGTCGGTGTCCCGTCGGTGTCCCGTCGGTGTCCCGATGCTGATGATGATGATGATGATGATGATGATGATGATGATGTTGATGATGATGATGGTGCTGATGATGATGATGGTGATGATGATATCGATAGAGAGACCGAATGTGACATCGATAGTGAGACCGAATGTGAAATCGTTTTTGATATCGATTGTGATATCGATAGTGAAATCGATAGTGAGCCCGAAAGTGAGATTGGTTGTGAGATCGATAGTGAGATCGATAGTGAGATCGATTGTGAGATCGATAATGAAACCGATAGTGAGACCGAATGTGAGATCGATAGTGAGATCGATAGTGAGATCGATAGTGAGACCGAATGTGAGATCGATGGTGAGATCGATAGTGATATCGATAGTGAGATCGATAGTGAGACCGAATGTGAGATCGATAGTGAAATCGATAGTGAGACCGAATGTGAGATCGATGGTGAGATCTATAGTGATATCGATAGTGAGATCGATAGTGAGACCGAATGTGAGATCGATTGTGAGATCGATAGTGAGATCGATGGTGAGATCGATAGTGAGACCGAATGTGAGATCGATTGTGAGATCGATAGTGATATCGATAGTGAGATCGATAGTGAGACCGGATGTGTGATCGATAAGGAAATCGATAGTGAGACCGAATGGGATATCGATAATGAGATCGATCGTGAGACCGAATGTGAGATCGATAGTGAGATCGATAGTGATATCGAGAGTGAGATCGATCGAGTGCGACGTTGGTCCCTCCCCCCCCCTCACCTCCTTATCACCCGAAGGGTGGCGTATAGGTCTATATATATGTATGTATGTATGTATATATAGATATATATATATATATATTATATATATATATATATATGTGTGTGTGTGTGTGCGTGTGTGTGTGTGCGTGTGTGTGTGTGTGCGTGTGTGTGTGTGCGTGTGTGTGTGTTTCTTGTCGACCCCCTGCCCGTGCCCGTGCCCCACTGGCTGCCGCCCTCCTGGCTCCCCGTATGCACCGATCCCTGGCCGAGGGTGGGCCCGGCCAGGATCGGTGCACCCTGAGATCCGACGTCACGAGCAAAAACAGCATCGTAGAAGAACTCGACTGGAATCCTGGACTCCACCTTCCTGCCGATTTCTGTTCGAGCCTGATCGGTCCGTCAGGGTCCCAGGGCCCGAAACGAGGCAACATCGCCCATTGCGAAGAAGTTGCGACGCCAAAATCTCCAGGTCCCCCCCCCTAATGATCCTCATCGTTCGGTCTTCCGGTCGTAACTCGGGTCTCCAGCGGCCGTTCGGGTCGATCCGGGCACCCCCAGACGCCTTTCGGCGAGGCGCAGCTGCAGGAAGGCGGCATCCCGCGGCTGGAAGGCCGCCGAGAACCTGCGAAAACAGTTGAAAACCTCGAACCTCTCGCATGGGTAGGTGTATAGCTTGGCGCCCCCCTCCCCGAAAGGGAGTTGAACGCCGAGGGTCGGCCGAACTCCCACTGCCAAGATCTCCATCTGGAGCCCTCCGGGTCCTCGCCACTGGCGCCGAGCTCGGCCGTGTCCTCGTCGGCCTCCTGCAGGGGGCGTTGCACACGAAGCAGGCGCCTGCTCAGCCCCGCCCTATACATGGCCCGCTCTCGCGCATATCTTCGCGCCGCCTGCTTCGTGGACCCCACCTCCTCGCGTTGCGGGAAAATGTAATCTTTGTTTGTTTTTCGTTGTCATTTTCGGCCTCCCTGGGCCCTCGCAGGGCCCCAGGACCATCCAAAAACGAGCAAGGATGAAAGTCTGGCCACAGCAGGGAAGGGGTCCGGCCCTTTGGAGGTCTATCTTGCGGAAGGATCGCGGCGTCGGAGTTTTGGAGAGTCCGGCATGGGCGGTGCGAGTGCTCAGATCTCCGACGATGCGTTTTTGTTTCTAGTCCCGGCGTTTTTCTCCAATTTCGGTCTCTGGGGCCGCCTGTTCGCCCATTGGCGACCGAAGGCGGTTGCCTGGGACGGACCCAGCGCTCCGACGTCGTGATTTTTTCGCCCCCGCCGGAGGTCTGGACCACTTCCCCAAGACCAAATTTTCGCCCTGGGTCGCTTTCCTGACGGTCCCGGGGCCTGGTGAGGGCCCCCAGAGTTCGAAAATAGCAAAAACTGTTCGTCGCATGTTGTCTGTAAAGATGTATCTAAAATGCACCCCGGACGGTGCGGGGCGGAACTCCCCAACTCGGGAAAGTATGGCGGATTCCTCCGCACAAGTATGGCGCAGAACCCGACGGCAGAGTTGTGACCACGATGGAAGCCACCGCCTCCACAAGTTCACGTAACAAATCCAGGACGGGCGAAATTCTGCATATGTGGGGCAGCGTTTCCGACTTGCGCTCATGGCCAATTCGGCACTGCGCGCAGCTCAGGCAATTACGTACGCCCAGCATTTCAAAACTTACCCTAATAAGCACATGGCAAAAGCACCCTGATATCAGCAACATTGACATGATACCTGTGGAACCTGCAGGACATGTGGGACCATCGAGGCCTGCTAGACCAGTTGGAGCAGTGAAACCTGTGGGACCTGTGGGACATGCGGGAAATGCGGGACGTGTGGGACCTGCGGGACCTGCGGGACTTACGAGACCCGCGTGCCCTCCGGGGCCTGTAGGACCTCTGGGACTTGTCGGACCTCCGGGACCAACAAGCCCTGTTGGAGATGTGGGACCTGTGGGACCTGAAGAGACCTGCGAGACCTGTGGGATTTGTAGGATCTGTGGGAAATGCGGGACCGGTGGGGCCTGTGTGACATGAGAAACCTGTGAGACTTGTGGGCCTGTGGGGCCTGTGGGACCTGTGGGACCTGTGCGACCTGCAATACTTGCGAGACCCGTGGGACTTGTGGGACCGGTGGGTCCGTCGGACCTGTGGGACCCGTGGGACCTGTGTGGCCCGTGAGACCAGTGGGACGTGTGAGACCTGTGGACCTCTGGGACCTGTGGGACCCGCTGGGCCTGTAGAACCTGTGGGACCTGGGGAACGTGTAGGACATGTGTGTTATTTGGGATCAGTGGGGCCTGTGGGAATTGCAGAGCTTGCGAGACTTCTTGGAACTGTGGGACCTGTGGGGCCTGTGGGGCGTGTGGGTCCTGTGAGACCTGAAGGGCCTGCAGGATCAACGAGACCTGCTAGACCTGTGGTGCCTGTGGGACCTGTGGGCGTTGTGGGAGCGGTGGGGTATGTGGAACATGTGGGACCTCTAGGATTCATGGGACATGAGTGAACTATGGGATTTGATGGACCAATGAGACGTGTGGGGCCTGCGAGACCTGTCAGACTTGCTAGGTCTGCGGCGCCTGCAAGATTTGGTGGACCTGCCAGATATGTGGGATATGTGGGACATGTGGTACCTGTGAGACTTGCGACAGCTGTGGGACTGAACCGTGGGACCCGTGGGACCCGTGGAACTGTGGGACCAGTGGGACCTGCGAGACCTGAGAGACCTGCGAGACCTGTGGGAGCTGTGGGACTTGTGGGACTTGCGGGGACTGTTAGACCTGCGCGACCTGCAAGATCTGCGAGACCTGTGGACCTTGTGGGAACTGTGGGACCTGTGGGACCTGTGAGATCTTTGAATCCTGTGGGACCTGCGACCGCCGGGGACCAAAGTAAGGCTCTGAATTGTGGGACCGCCAGGCACCCAAATAAGAACCTTCCTGGGGACCCGGGGAATTCCTTATTAAATTTCGTGGATCGACAGATGTCTCGTGCTTTGGGGCCATCGAGGCCCCCAGGGGGATTTACTCAGGAACCCGAAGGTTCCTTACGTCCACGATGTTTTCTTGGAGCGGGGGGGCTCCAAATTCAAACGTCCCAGCGTGGCCGTCGGAGGCCCTCAATTAGCCACCCCGCTTGGAAACGCGACGCAACTGTTCTGCCGAGACCTGCAAGCGACTCTGATGCCGTCACCGCCGTACCTGCAATGCATCCGCTAATCCGCAGGCACACCCAAGAAACCGCCATGGAGGCGGGCACGACCCCAGACGGCACCAGAAGACCCCCGGGGGAGCTCACGACGACCCACGATGGCCCCGAAGTGTCCCACAGAGCCCCAAAACGACCCAAGAGTGCTCCAAGACGCCCCCAAGACAACCCAACAGGACCCCGTGACAAGCCCAATGCGGCCTGAGAGTAACCCGTGAGAGACCTCAGAGAGACAAGAACAACGGACGCAGAATGAGGCAGAAAAATAAGGGAACTCACAACGGGGGGACGGAGGAGGGGGGACGACAACGAAAACGAAGGAGTACGCCCCGAAACGACGCGGATAAGCGTGTCACATGTTGCTGCCGTTGTACGGGTATGAGCGACGATCTGTCGCGTGGTACGGTTTCCTTGGTGGTGCTCTAAAACTCGCCGCGCCGAAACATGCGCAATCGCAGTGCGCGGGACTTGCCGCGAACAAATCGGCATAACGCAAGCGCCCGGTTCTCTACACGCACGTCAGGCCCGCGCAGCAACTCTCACACAAGCCCGTCCCTTCCCGCCTGCCGCCGGAGGGCAGGGATGGCAACCAGATCTCCGACGATGTGTTTTTGTTTGCAATCGCGGTTTGTTTTGTCCTCGATTTCGGCCTTGAGGCCGAAATCTGGAGCCCGACGAGGGCATCGGGCCCTGGGACCACCAAATATGGATCCTGGTTAAAAACTGGCCTCTTGGGCCGCGGGATGGCAAACTCATGTCGACGGACGTCAGCGTAGCTCTTGGGGCCTGGTCTTTGGCCTCTCGGGGGCCTCCTGAGGTTTCTGGGGGGCCTCTTTGGGGACCTGCTGGCGGTCTCGGGCGGGGCGGACGGCGCGAAATGTCAGTTCGAGCTCCCCCTGATTGGGTCCTCTAGGGCTCTTCTTGGGGGACTCTTGGGGCATCTTGGGACCCTCTTGGGCTGTCAGGGGGCACACTTGGGCCGATATTGGAGGCATGCTTTTCAAGGCAACGCCTATGCCCCATAATGATCAGGGGGCACCACTGGCGCTGAGGCGCAACAGGTGGCTTCGGGCATTCCACCTGGAAGCATAGCGGTGGGATGAATTCATCGGCATCTTCGGTCACCTGATCTTTTCCCAGGTTCGGTTCGGACCTCGCTCTGCACTCCCTAATCCTCTTTCCCCCACGCCAGCCCCTCCATGCACTGTAGATGGGTGCTGGTGGAGGAGGAGGAGGAGGAAGAGGAGGAGGAGGCGAAGGAGGAGGAGGAGGAGGAGGAGGAGGGAGGAGGAGGAGGAGGAGGAGGAGGAGGAGGGAGGAGGAGGAGGAGCAGGAGGAGGAGGAGGAGGAGGAGGAGGAGGCTCTCACGCGAGTGCTGTTTACCGCGCGCAGAGTGCATCTTTATATCGCCGTCGCGCCTGGACACGGCCATCCTGGGCCCTGGCATGGCGCACACGCCCCCCTGGGCCCTGGCCAAAATGTCTACACACCATCGCAGTGCCCAGGATGGCTCTGGCCAGGCATGGCGGCGGCGGTATACCCAGACATGCGGTGTCTTGAAATTTCCCATGCGCGGTCCCCGAAATCCGACCCTTTCCCCAGGACGGGTCTTTCATCCCGAGTCGTTTTTCTCACGGTCCTGGGGCCCGGCGAGTGCCCCCAGGGGCCGAAAATGTACGACAACCTCCCGTCGTGATCTTTTCGCGGCGCGAGGAGGTGGTCCTCGGCCATAACTCGGGCCTCTGGCGGCCGTTCGGGACGATCTGGCCACCTCTGGAACACCCTCGACGATGCGCAGCAGATGGAGACCACCCAAGCCCCGAAAAACAACTCCTCCGTCCTCCCTCCTCCTCCGCCCTCCCTCCCTCCTCTTCCTCCTCCTCTTCCTCCTCCTCCTCCTCCTCCTCCGTTCTCCTCCTCCTCCTCCTCCTCCTCCTCCTCTTCCTCCTCCTCCTCCTCCTCCTCCTCCTCCCTCCTCCTAATCCCCGGAACTTGCCCGCCTGCGGGCGCAGGCTCCCGTCCTGGACGTCCTCGATCGCCTCCACGCCCGCCCGCAGGCCCAGGGGCGCGCCGACCCGCCGCGGCCCCGCCGCGGATGCCGCGGCGGCGCTGCCGAAGCGCCTCGCCACCGCGGCGCGGGACCTCAGCGCGGCCCCGAGCCTTGGGGGGTGGCAAGAATAGAGGCCTCCCAAATGGTGTCCGAGTAGACGGGGTCGGAGGATCGCGTCGCGTCACCGATGCATCGGCGATGCATCGGCGATGCATCAGCGACGTCGGCGATGCATCACGTCGGCGTGGAGAAACGCGGGGCCTCGGCGCGGCCCCGAGCCTGGGGGACCAGAGGGCACCGATAACGCTACGGTGAGGGCAGTGGATGCTGGAGCCCTTAGTCGGGGAGACGTGAGGCTCGGGTACGGGGGACTCGGGTTGGCCTGACGGGGCCCTCATCATTTTAAATGAGGAGACCCAATGTGAAATTTGACGCGAGCTCCCGCTGCAAACATCCCACGAGAACTGGACCGTCAGAATCTAGGACGCGCTCGTCAAAGAACGTCGACAAGCCCGAGTTCCAGCTTACTCGAGTCTTACGTTTCCTCGGCTTAGATAAGGAATCC